ACCTGTATGTGTCTGAACCGCAACTGTGGACCCAGGGGTCCCTCCCACCTCCTCAGCCCTTGTATCTCAGTGGGGACAAAGGGCATGAGGCTGGGTGGGGGATGTTGCCTAACTGGGTGCATGTGCTGAAGTGTCTGAATCCCGACTCTGACCAGCCTGGACCCCCAGGACACAGGGTTGACACATCCCTAGTTAATAACGAGATTCACCCACACTGTTAAGTAAATGAAGTTAAGAGGATAAAAGACCATTTTTGAAACCTCTGTTTGTTTAGTACAAGCCCCTAAGTTTTTTGTTTGTTTGTTTTGTTTTTTCTTGTTTTTGTTTTGTTTTGTTTCTTTGGTCTCCCGATAAAGAGGAATCAGCATTTTCAAGTCAATCCAAGAAGCAACCACTATCCACTCAGCCCTGAAAGGGGAAGTACAGAAGAAATGTGGTTTAAGAAAGTTATATTCTAGCTGAGGAAATAGATGATTTTCCCAACTCTCCTCCTGTGGTTCTGACCACTCTCTGACTTGAAGTTTCGTCTTTACATAAAAGACTTAACTGATACGTGCCTCTGAGGCCCTGGGGAACAGGACCCATGTCGGACCCACTCTGTGTCTCTCCCAGGACCCAGCCCAGGGCTTGGCTTAAAATAAACAGACGATCATAAGAACCGAGAATGTTAGAGAGGGAAAGAGCAACTGGGATCTGCCCAAGTCACTCCCAGGTCAAAAAGCTTCAATGGCCTCCTTAACATCAGGATAAATTGCAACCCTCTTGCCCAGACATTCATGACTTTCAGACCCCGGGACTCCAGCCCACCTCTCTGTCCTCATTTCCCATCATTCCCGGCCCCTCCCAGGTTCCTGGTTCTCCAGCCCCCAGTCACACAGGACTCAGTGTATCCGTCGGGGTTGATTTGGAGAAGCAGAACCACTAGGCGTGGTAGAGAATCGGGAAATACTAAAGGGAGTTGACTTTATGCAATTGTGGGAGTGTAAGAGCGGCATAAATGGTTTATGCATAGCAGTGGCCTCTGCTCTGAGTGTCATGTCGGAGGCCAGCAGGGCAGACAATAGAGAGGGAAGATGGTCAGGAGTTGGGCAGAGCAAGGGCAAGCTGGTTCTCATGGGAACAAACTGGAACCCATGCTGTCTCTCCTTGCCTTTGAGCCTCTGGCTTCCATCGTGGGGTTGACCTGCAGGAGAAGTGGAGGCTTTGCTGAAGAAATTGATCCAAGAGATGAAGAGATGGAGAAATTGATGGAGAAAAATCCAGTGGGAGCTGGCGCAGGTGCGCACCTGGCTGCTACATCACATGAGAGAGAGAGAGAGAGACAGAGAGACAGAGAGATCTACCCCAGCATGCGTGAGCTGCAACACTGTCCGTCCTGATGGTCTGAGCGTAGACACGGCTGCATTCACTTCCACTTTTCAGACCTCATGCAGATTTCTCTTACGGCCAACCTCAACCCAGAGGAAATTCCAGAAAACGTCGTTGCAGCTCAGCTGAATTTGACCAGACACGCACTTCCCCAGCCTGTTTTCTTGGCCTAGAATGTTCTTCCCCATTCTCTTCCTGAATAATTCCAACTCATCTATCAAGGCCCCACCCAAAGAGCTCTCCAGCCCTCAAGGGTCTCCTGTCATCCCTGGGCCGACTTCATCAGCTCCTCCTTGTGCCCCGGGGATACTCAGGACCAGCCTCCATTAGCTGCCTAACATCTGTTCTAACATATGTTCTGTGAGGCTGTGATCCGAGGGACTAGATCCTACTAAACATTATCTCAGTCAATCTTCACACCAGTGCTTTGAAGTGAAATGTTCTTATTGTCTCCGTTTTACAGCCGAGGAAACTAAGATTCCAGGAAGAGCAGTCACTTGGTGATGCTCACAAGAGGGCAGGACTCAAACCTGATCCATCTGACTCCAGAGGCTGAATTCTTAATCAGGAAGTAGTTCTTAAGGTATTAAAGATGTGGTGAGGGTGGCGTGACCAACCTCCCAGTTTGCCTAGGACTGGGGTTGGGTGGGGGGGCCCGGTTATTGGAATGTTAACTTTTCAGTTCGAAAACTGGGTTAGTCTCAGGCAAAGTAGGACGAGTTGGTCACCCTTGGCCAAGTGCTCTGGTTGTTCAAAGGTGGGTGTGGCACTGGGAAAGCCACGGAGGGGCCAGACGGAAGCATTGAAGTTGGGCCACTCCCCAAGACCAGAATAAGAAGAAAGTGTTTGGATTGGCTTTATTTGTCTAATTTCTTCCTTCCTCAGGAACTCAGCCCTCTGGGTTATTTGGAAAGCCATCACAGTTCTCGGGTGACTGGCTGCACGTGGAGCTGCTGTGGGAGATGGAGGGTCAGGAGCGCCTGCAATACAGTCTTCTTTTCTACAAAGTCCAGCATGAGCCCACGGCCTGGGGTCAAAACAGACTCACAGAGCCTGCAAAGGCGGTGGTGGGCAGGGGGTCTCTGGGCTAAAGAAGCATCAGTAGAGTCATTAAGAGTGAAATCCTAGCCCCCTAGACATCAGCGTTGGGAGGAAATGCTTAGTCCAACCCCGTCGGTTCAGCTCTGGGAAGGGATGTATCCAAGGGTACAGAGCCAACAGGAGCAGAGCTGGAGCGAAGACCCAGGTTTCTCCTGGGCAGGGGGAGTGGCCCACCCTACGGTTGACTTCAGGCAAGTTGCTTCTTTCTGATGCACATTTCCTTTATCTGTGACGTGGGGAGAACTTCCGGGTCACAGGAGAAATGCCAAGCCTTAGGACCACGCAGAGCACCTAAGAAGTGTCAGGGCCCTTCTTTAGCCACACCTCGCCCCATAGCCTGGCGTCCGAGAGCCAAGCCCATTGGCCCAGGTGGAGAGTCTGTTACTTATCAGCTCTTTAATTAAGCAAGTTCTTTCCTTCTCTTGGTGTCAGACATCAAGTGAGGTAACCACCCTCCTCCTGTGGTTACGGGTGATGAATACGAACAAAGAAAGTTGTCTTAACAGCTTTTATCTTAAGAGCTGGGAAGGGAGGAAAACATCTTAAACTTCTTGAAGAGACTGGAGACACAGGGGAAGGCTTTGTTTGGGGCGAGGAGTTCTTGAAAGAGAGAACACAAAATAGGGTGGGGGAAGGGAGAGGATGGAGGAGAGCCAGCACCCGGGTGGGGGGACCAGGCAGACTTCCAGGCAAGCAGGGGTGACCGAAGGTTGTAGAAGGTGATGCTTTGTCCCTCTTCCTCAGAAGCTGTTTGTAACACCACCCCCTTTACCGCCAAATCATCAGTAACACGTGCCAGTCCCATGAGTCCTCGATACACATGATGTGTGTGTGTTTTCTCCAGGCCAGGGAGAGAGGTCTCCTTCACTGAGCTGATATGAGCTGCCATGTATTGTGAGAGGCGAGATTATTTGGCGTAGGAAGGAATGAAAGGAGATCCTACCCTCAGGAAGGCCCGAGAACCCTCTCTTCTAAGAAAAGTAGATTAGCTCAATGCATTTCTAAATTCCTGGCCCTCCTGATAAGTCTCCGGAAGCCCCATAATCAGAAAAAGGGACAGAACATGCCCTTAATCATTCTAGAGGGTGAAAAGGAAGGCCCCCTACCTCTGGGTGGGCTCCTGGGGCTGGGGATAAGGCTGTGGGGACAGGGCGCCAAGGGATATAGAAGCCTGGGCCCTCTCCGCCCCTGAGGGCCTTTGGGTGTGAGCACCGAGGTGTTGAGGCCTCGTGCACCAGTGGCAGAGCTCACCACAGTGGGGGTGAAGTTGCCAGCCGAGCACCCCCACTTTGGAAGGGTCACGGTGGCCTGAATCGGAACCCGGGCAACCTGGGGCAGGAGTGGACAGACATGAGACTGGCACCCGAGCAGCACCATGCGGTAGTATGTTGGCAGCAATGACAAGATGTTTGCAGCATCCCCAGAGCTCCCTGACAATCCAAGAGTGTGATACAGGACATTCTGCCAATGGGAGGTGAGAGGGGGTGTAACTGAGCAGGACCCTATGGAAGCCTTCCCGGGATAAATCCCTTCTCCATATCCTCTCCTGTAGCTCCTCTCTGAAGGCCCCAGATAATAGTGCCTCATGCATATTGCCTGAGTTTTTCAGATGCTCAAAACCACCACCAAGTGGAAGAAATTAACTACCTGATGATCATGAGCACATAGCCCCCCAGACCTTCTGGTGCCTAAGGATTGATCGCCGTCAACCAATCAGAGAATTGTGCACAGCCGATCACAGACCCTAAGACCTCCCCCCGACCCCCATCCTCAGCTGGCCTTTAAAAATGCTCAGCTGAAAACTTTCAGGGAGTTTAGGGATTTTTTGGCTTGAGCCATGAGTTTTCCTTTCTCAGTCCAGTAACAAACCTTTGCTCCAAATTCTGTTCCGGTATTTTTTGGCCTCCCTGTGCATTGGGCACATGAACTTGTGTTGAGTAACAATTTTGGTGACTCCAGCCTAGGAGTCTATGCCTGTGGCAGGTTGACCCTGGCCAGAGGCAGCTCCTGCCTTGGGTCCCCAGGAGATACCCAAGCTCATTTGGCTCCGGGGAACTGGAAGGGACCCTCCCTGACAGAGGTGAGCCACCCTGGCATGAGGCTGTTTGGAGCCAAGAACTGTCAGGAGCTACGGTCAACATTTGGTGTCGCTTGGGGGTAAGTCACTCCAGCTTGCGCAGGCTGGGAACTCGCTCCACTCCAGCTGGGCTCATTGCTAGCCACTCTGGGTCCATTCTCTTTCAGGAGCCGGGCCGCTCTGGAAGCCTCTGCCCGGGAGTGCAGGTGGAATCTTTGGGCTACACCTTGGTCTGATCTTTTCTTTGTGGGACCACGTTTGTTGTTTGCATGTGTGTGTGTTGTGTATCAGTACTTGCACCGGTTGGCTGAGACGTCTTTGGTGGGGAATGGAGCCTACGTGAGATGACACCAGGGCATCCTTCCCCATTGCCTTGGCTTTGCCTGGGGCAGCCGTTTGGCTGGGGATTTTCCCTTTCGAGCCCTGGGGATTCGTTCCGCTTCATCTCTGACTGGGTGTGGGCTGGAGTTTTCCCCTTTCAGACTGACAGGTTGGGAATCTCCCTTTTGGGGGCTTGGGAACTGGGACCTTGAAAGACTGTTTTGAATGACTGTTTTCTTGCTATTTGAGAACATCCGTGGTGAGTAAGTATGGATGAGCAGGGCCCTGGTCCACCTTATAGGCCCCTCTAGGGTATATTTTACAAAACTGGGAGATCTTCAGCTCTGCTCCCATAAATGAAAGAAGATGATAATTTTTTTTTTATTATTGTAACACTGTGTGGGCTCAGAATTCGCTAAGATCTGGAGAAGAATGGCCCCTAATGGGTCTACTGTTACATCAAAGTTGGCCTTCTGTGATTGCTTCAGCTTCCATCTTTGTGTGTGTCAGTATCTGGATCCAAATCCTGTTCTTGTCCTGGTTTTGCTGAAAGTAAGACATGTGAATGTGAGCAAATAAGACATTTTATATATATATACACATATATACTTTTATCTATTACTGTTACTTCTTTAAACTGAAGAGTAGATATTTGGAAACAGGGGGAAAAAAATCCCTGAAAATTCAGGGGGCTGTATCCAGTAGGAAAGTAGGATATATATTTTGAGTAAAAGAAGGTATGATGACTGGAATTGCACTTTGTTGAGAAAAAGAATTTTTTTTCCCTAAAGCTGGTTGTTTTTAGACGAGAAACAAATAGGCAAACTAATATGGATACAGAAAGTTGTGAGAAGTTTGTAGAGACAGAACCCTAAAGAAGGAGTTCTATGCATAGTTGGGCTGAGATTAAACTTAATTAGGTAAATGGATTTTGTTGTTAAAAGTAGGCTGGTGGAGGAGGGTGTAGCTCAAGTGGTAGAGCGCCCGCTTAGCATGCACAAGGTCCTGGGTTCCATCCCCCTGTCCCTCCTCTAAAAATAAACAAACCCAGTTACCACCCTCCCCCCCGCCAAAATGAAAAAAAATACAATAATAAGTAAATTTTTAAAAAAACGAAAAAGAAACTAATATATAAAAAAAAATAAAAGTAGGCTGGTGCAGGACTGGATTTGGTTCCTCTCTGTTAAGAGAACAAGTTTGCTTAGAATGCTTTGGATGACAGACTGCAGGAAACTTCTTGGTATTTTTGACAAACTTCTATCGAATTCTATTTAAAGTTCTTTTGGCTTCAGCTGACTCTGGGATGCTTTGGAGGGCCCCTGGGGCACCTCACAGAAAGATGTTTAAACTAACTAGGGAGGGCTGGTATGTTGAATTGCACGGGAGGCACTGTCAAATACTGACGAGCCTCCTTGGCTCACGTGGTCGGGTGAACGCTGTTGATGCGGACATTCTAGAAATCGTGTGGCACTTCTGAAGTTTGGGTCTGTCCTGGTATGATGCCGTGAGTCATCGTTCTGGTTGTTGGAATGTTGTGTGTTGATTAAGCATCTTTGTCAAAATTATTGTGACTGGATCTTTTCCTTGCCTTTTAGGGGTTTTTCTTATTCATAAGACAGCTGAGCGCATGCGTTGCGGGACTGCTTCATCTTCGAGAAGATTTGGGGCTCTGACAAATACCGGTTTCTTTTAAATCGGACTGCTTAGCTGTTGGATATTAAGGAGTCTAAAGAAAACTCCGAGTTCATGGAACTGTTAGTAAGAGGGATGGATTGCACAGGGTTGAGCGAACTGATGAAAATGGTTGCAATTTTTTGGTTTTGTCTGAAATATTCCTGAATTTTGATCTACTTTTTAAATTGAACTGTTTACCAAATGTTTGTCTCCCTATCAATGCTTGTGTAACGACTGGGTGGAAGTGATAAAATGTATGGCCTATAAATTGTTTCCCTGTTAACGTACCTCTGAGCCTGTTCACGGTATCTGATTAGTTTAATCAGGCAACTATGAAGCCGGCCTAGCACCGAGGCACATGACTTGAACCTGGGACAGAAGCCATCATCCCCTAGTATTAAGGGACAGATATTTTGATCATCTATTGAAAAATGTATTATCAGAAGGGAAATGATGGGAAAATCTGCCACGTATTGAGGTAGGGGGCATCATTCTGGCTTATGCATAGTTTGACTTAAACTTTACTGACCGAAAGTGGCCTGTTTTGTGGCCTTTTGGACACACACTGTATATCTGCTTCGGTCTGGAAGAGGGGAATGCGTTTGAAAGTCTAAACGGAGTAGCTGTGGTTCAGACATCCAAGGTAAAACTAGGTGGCCATCATAGACGTGATTGCAGATGTGTTCTTGTATTGGTGAAAACTCTCATTTTCATCATCAACCAATCAGAATTGTGCGCAGCTGGTCACAGACTCTGGGACCCCTTCCTCAGCTGGCCTTTAAAAACACTCAGCTGGAGTGCGGAGGGTGTAGCTCAAGACGTAGAGTATATGCTTAAAATGTAGGAGGTCCTGGGTTCTATCCCCATTACCTAATTACCTCCCCCCACCAATAATGAAAATAAAGAAAAAAGAAAACACTCAGCTGAAACCCTTCAGAAAGTTTGGGGTTTGAGGGGAATGAGCCATGGGTTTTCCCTGCTCAGCCCAGCAATAAACCTTTCTCTACTCCAAACTCAGACATTTCAGTATTTTTTTGGCCTCACTGTGCATTGGGCACATGAACAGGTGTGAAGTTGTAACTGAATTTGAAGAAGGGAGATGGGATAGGATTTGCTGCCAGAGAGGGTGGAAGAGTCCATATTTGTCACCAGAACTTACAAGAAGAGGCTACTGGTCCCTCATGACACCTGGGGGTATCAGGGGCAGGTATGTCCACCGGCCCAAGACGAGCACGCTTCCCCCTGCCCACTGCTGCTCCAGGTGTGGTCCTTAGCATCCCGTGGCATCAGGAAACTCAGAGACCTGACTCTCCAGTGAGCTAACCAGCCCCAGGCAAGAAGGAGGCCTTGGGGCAGGGCTCAGCTCCGAAACACGTGTCCTGGGACGCTGGAGCCAGGACACAGAGGGGGCAGGGACAGGGAAGCAGAGCAGGAGTGGAAGGAAATGAGCTACCTGCATTCTGTGAAGGCTCAAAATGACTTATTAAAGGAAGCTCTTGAGGGTGGAAAGGGGGGATTGTGAACAGCCTTGCCAAGACAACCAGAGGTTCAAATGTGCACAAAGTCTATTTGTCTTGCAGACAGTCCATTTCTCCCACATCGGAGATACAGAACGGCAGAAAAGATGTTCGAGGAGCCAACCAGAGTTCTGCACAGAGAAGCTAAGAATGGAAAATCATCACCTCTTGGGTTCATGGTTCCTTGCCTTCCAGAGCCATAGCAACGTTCTTGGCAACTGTGGCTCCCAGACCTCATAGATTTTCTGTGGTTAGAAGAACATGGACCCTGGAGTCAGGCCAGCCAGGGCTTGTGTCCCAGCTCCAGCACTTAGAAGCACTGCTTGGCCAAACTGCTTTACGTCTCTGAGCCTCAGTTTCCCTGTCTGTGAAATGGGGGTTATAATACTTGCCAGGTAGGGGCTGTTTTGGGGAATCAACAGAAATAGAATGTAGATCAGCTGTCACAATCATCCTTATTGTGACAATGCGTGAGCTTGAAATCTGGCCTAGAGTTGGCAGTCCAAAAATATCTGTGGGATGAATGGTTGTCAATCCGTAGAACTGCTGCCAAGTACACAGAATTCCTGAGGGATTTAGAATGGGTTCCCAGTGGTTGGTGTAGCAACTTTACATTTCACTAATGCATTGTTGTTACCATGGTTACTGTAGCTACAGAAAACTGCGTAGCTTCCAAAGAGCACCTGCATGCTTTCTCTTATTCAGTTTCCTAGTGACTTGCTGAAATACGCACGATTATTCTTACCTTAAGAATTAGAAAACTGAAGTTCAGGGTCAAGGACTGCATTGCACAAGGACACACAGCCAGGAAGCAGCACAGCTGGGATCACATAACCAAAGAGGACTTATTGAGACCTACTATGTGCCTAGCACTGGCTTCAGCTCATTACATACTTTATCTAGTGCAAGTCTTATAACTCAGGCATACTTAACCCCAAAGGGAGCCTTATAACATCCAGGTTCACATGGCCGGGGAGTGGCAGAGTCAAAATGAGAACCTACTTGTGTTTAATGCCAAAGCTTGAGCAAAAAGGGGAGGAGGTCATAGGGGAGAGGCTGGGGTGAGTGGGTAAGACAGAGCCCAGCTCAGAACAGAATTCCAGGGAGTCATACCCTTTATAGCAATTTCCCAATAGTCCCATTCAGGCTGGGAGCTACAGCCCTGGTTGGGGAAACTGAGGCATCTCAGCCACACAGGCTGTACCAGGTCAGCAACCACACAACCTAGAATTCAACAAATTCAATAAACCACAATTCATTCCGGAGTCTGTGGGCTGGTGGACTGGGCTGCCCTAGGGTCTCAGTGGTCTCAGGGATGAAACAGTGATTCAAGCTGAGAGGGACAGGAGGGGGGCAATGATGTGTTCTATATGTTCTTGAAGAAAGCTGACTCTTTCGGGAAGCCTCACTCTTGTGCCAGTTTCCCCAGTGTGTTTCCTGAAATATCTAGTTTCAAAAAAGGAAATTCTGTCATGAAATAAGCTTGAGAAATGCCATGGCCCATTGCTGCATCTTGGATTGACAGAATCTTCAGTATATTAAAGGCTCTGATAAGTCCTGTAGCAAAGGAATCGGTTACCTTTTTCTTAACCTGGAATTTCCTGCAAATACCTGATGGGAACATTTCTTCCTCATTTTTAAAAATAATTTTTTGAGATAATCATTTTCACTAAGCTCTTGATTAAAATGCTGGAATGGCAAGCACTTTAAGAGGCACAGCATTTCTTAAAATTTTCCCTTTTTCTTATTTTTAACTGGAATGAAGCCTTAATTTTTGGCTCAGGAAATGGAAGTAGGCAGCCTCAGGACCACTGCACTGCATGATTTCAGGGGACTGTCCCAGCACGGATTCCAGCAGAGCATCATTCTTTGTACTCCACGTGCTCTCTGTATGAACAGAGCCTCCTGGAGTTGTGTGAGGCAGCAGCCCTGAGCAGCATTTATCATCAAAAAGAGAGTGTTCTGAGAGAGCCTCCTTATCTCTGGGACCTTTGTATGTTCCCTGTACTGCCTCGCAGGGGACATTTTCTAAGAGTAGGCACAAGTGAAACCTTATTTAGCACCTGGCTCTGGAGCCAAAGGAAGAGCAGCCAAGGCCAGACTCCCTCACCCCGTGGAAAAGAGGCAGGAAGGTCATCTTGCCTCTCAGTGCAGCCACAAGAAGCCGCGTGGACTGAGCTTGACACACAGTGGGTCGGGCAGGTCCTGCTGCCCTTACTTCCTCCCATGACAGCTCTGCCAGGGCCTGAAGTCCTCACTGTCAGAGTCACCATTTTGGCCCATGGATAGTTTCCAGGCCACAAGCCTCTTTGCCCCCGAGAAGAAAGACCGTCTTGGGTCATATTGTCTCTGAAAAGCCAAAGGTGACATTAGTTAAGGTGTGGCCCAAAGAATTAACATGTGAGGTATTGGCAAACGTTGCAAGAAGAGAGCAGTTGCATGCTTACATAAGTTCAGGCTGCCTGGCATCCTGCAGACCCTGTGTGGAAAGTCACAGAACACAGTCCAGAGCTTCTGAGGGAGAAAGGCTTTGACTTATCTGTGCGTAGAACTGCTATTTATATTCACCAGGAATGGGAAACGCTAGGCATGGGAGACTTCGTCAACTATCTGTCAAGAACCACGCGTACAGGAATGTGCCATGGGGACAGGGAGAAAGTTCTGCCAAGAACATGACCACGTGGACTCAGATGGAAGACAGACAAGAGCTCGAGTCTTGTCTCCCAGTTTAGAACGGTGCAGCTTTGGGCAAGTTCCTGAACCTCCCTTGGCTTTGAATTCCTTGTCCATAAACTAGGAAAAAAAAAAAAATAAGAGTTCCTATACAGGTGGTTTTTGTGAGGATTAAATGAGATTAGTGCACAAGGCAAGTGTTCAGTAAACAGTTGCAGCCATGATGACTGAGGTTGTTACTGTTTTTTTGTTATTGTTTATGGAGCTGGGATGGAGAGGGAGAGGTAGGTGGCAAGAAGTGGAAGGAATCATGAAAGATGTGGAGGGAAAAGACCAAACACACAGGCAGATCTTGGAGATCAGGTTCAGTTCTAGACCCACCGCAAAAAAAGTGAGTCACGTTAATGCTTTGGTTTCCCCGTAATATGAAAGTTACATTTATACTATACCGTAGTCTATGAAGTGTGCAATAGCACTGTCTAAAAAAATGTATACCTTAATTAAATACTTGCTAAAAAAAAAAAAAAGCTAACCATCATCTGAGCCTTCAGTGAGTCCTGGTAGTTACATCAAAGATCGCTGATCAGAGGTCACAGTAACAAATATTATAAAGGTCAGGAAAAAACTTGAAATGTTGAGAGAATTAGCAAAACGTGACACAGAGACATGAAATGAGCAAATGCCGTTGGAAAAATGGCGCTGACAGACTTGCTCAATGCTGGGTTGCCACACTCAAAAAAAAAAAATTACAGTATCTGCAAAGCACAATAGAACGAGGTGTGTCTGTCCACTTCACTGCCTTCGCCCCAGCATGCTGTCATCAGGGCTGGAAGAGGCTCCCCTTGCCTATGAAGTCAGAAAACTGAAGTCCAGAGACACAAAGAGACCCCGCAAATCCGACAATGAGTTAGTGTCGAGCCAAAAATTTATTCCTTAACTGTTCTCACTGAGCACCTATTCTGCTATGTGGAAGCAATTTGCACAAGTCAAGGAACATGCAGCACACACCGGAAATCTCAGGCTTGGAATTTATCTTCTAGAAACTTTAGCAAAATGTTTTCAAGATAAATATTGAGGGCAGACCAGAAGCTAATGGGATGGGCTGTTTACAGAGGGTAGGTGCAAATGAGGTTGAAAGAAGGGGAAACGGAAACGGGGGTGGAGGAGAGAAAGACATTTGGACAGAAGTGGCATTTCTCTGACTTTTGGCCAGCTCTGACTCAGAGGACCCTGGCAAGGCTTCACACCCCCCAAAGCTAACTAAATAAACAGAAGCAACCCGGACATCAGGGGAACCTCCAAAGTTACACAAATGGTGACAGATGAACCCAAAAGTATGACAAATGAATAGCGCCACCACACTGAAGGCAACAGGGAAGAACAGCACTAACTCAGGCAACTTTGGGAAACAGTTATTCTGATTGGATATAGACAGAAAGGCTGGAAGGCTAAAAACAAAAAGGACTGTACACGAATTTGAGTTCCAGCTAGCAACTGTTTCCACCGAAGTCTGGGTTAGCAATTCTGAAACTGCTTAATGTGTATCCTAGGACTGAGCGATTAAGTAAATGGATTGGGGAGTCAGATTTCACACTGTTGGAGAAAGGAGTTGGAAATAAGCAAAGGAGGAAGGCTAGAATGAATTCTGTGGTGCTGGAGTAGAATCAGAGGTATCAGTATGAACTCTTGGCCATCCATTCATTCATTCATTTATAGAGAGAGAGAGGGTGGCTATCCATCCACCCACCCATTTATAGAGAGGGTGGCTATGTATACATCTATCCATCCATCCATCCATATAGAGAGAGTGGCCATCCATCCATCCATTTATATAGAGAGAGTGGGTGGCTATTCATCCATCCACCCATCTATAGAGAGTGTGTGTGAGAGAGAGAGGATGGCTGTCTATATTTCTATCTATCTAGAAGGATACAGATGTAAATACAAATGTGTGTATGCATGTGTAAGCATAAAATATACATACATAAAATATTTGCTAGCTCTGCCTGCTGAGAGGGCGTAGAATCGATGACACTCTGTCTTAGTCCATTTGGGCTGTCATAACAAAACATCAGACTGCGTGCCGTATAAACAACAGGAATTTATTCCTCACAGATCTGAGGGCTGGGAATTCGAAGATCTAAGTGCCAGCAGATCTGATGTCCCGTGAGGACCCACTTCCTGGTTCACAGACAGAGCCTGTCACTGTGTCCTCACGTAATGGAAGGGGCTGGGAGCTCTCTGGGGTCTCTTTTCTAAGGGCTCTAACCCCCTCCACAAGGGCTCCAGGACCTCATCACCTCCCAAAGGCCCCACCTCCTAATGCTATCACCTTGGAGGGTCGGATTCCAATATGTGAATTCTGGCGAGGCTCGAACATTGAGACCACAGCACACCCCAATAGCAATGAGGGCACTTGGTGACCAGATTTTCATTTCTAAAGGCTATTCTCCAATAAAAGGAAGCAGGTCTCCTGGGAAAAATTGTTGATTCCAGAGTTAGGGAAGGGAAGATACAAGATAAGCCTGGAACATTTTGTGGTGTCAGAAAGCAAAGAAGGACTCAAAGTTTATGACAACATGAGCAACAAAATAAATAATGATGTTAATAGATTATGACTCATGGAATAAAACAAATACTCAAGTTTTGGTGCTCAGTGACTAAATAGATGAGGGAAAGGGGGAGGCTTTTTCCTATAGTAAATGTCCAATGAACAAACATAGAAGGAATAACAGAAATAGAAAATAACCATTGGGCAAACACCACAGTATTCACCGAGGCAGGCAAAAATCTTTGACAGATGCTAAAATCAGTGGGCCAGCGTGTGATGAGAAACAGGATATTTGCATCATCACAAGGTATCTCCCTATAAGACACTTATTAATTACAAAGGATAAATAGTCATTTTATGGGGGGAGAAATATGGCCGATGCCGTCCTGACCCAAGTGAGCAGAGTTTGCATCATGCCAAGTCATGTGGACATCACGACACTTCTGATATGCAGTACTGGGGAGACAGTATCACCCCCATGGTATTCTTGCCCAAAATGCACAGCATCATTTAATCACGAGAAAATGCAAAATGAGGTACATGCTACAAAATAACTGGCTGAAACTTTCCAAAGCTGTCAAGGTCACGAAAGACGAAGACTGAGAAATTGTCACAGATTGGAGGTACCTGAGGTGACATGACAACTAAATACAATGTGGGATCCTGGACTGGATCCTACTAGAAAAAGGACATGAATGGGGAAACTGTAGATTCTCTTGTGTGTGTGATGTTCATTTCCTGATCTTGGTAACTGTGCTGGGGTTATGTAAGATGTCAGCCTTAGGGGAAGCTGGAGGAAGAGCGTATTATTTTTCATAACTTTTCTGTAGGTCTAAACTTATTTCAAAAGAAAATATTTTTAAAAGACAAAAATAAAAAAAAACGTTCTTGGCAGCATTTGCTGTGGTGAAAAACCGTAAACAAGAAAAAGCGTTCATCAGAAAGCAATATTTATGTGCATAAAGCTTTTTTTCCTTGGAAGAACCACAAGAAACCAACAATGGGAGATGTTGGAAGGAGAGTCTCCGTTTTCAAGGTGTGGCTGTACCATTTGCATTTTCTAATTATATTTTTCAAACGTGATTTCAACATTGATTGGAAGATGGGATTATACGTTCTAGGACATTTTGATTTCCTCCTTCATATTTCTTTGTATATATGTTTGAATCTAATTTTTAAAAATGTTCTGGGGGTGGGGAAAGGAGGTAATTAGGTTTATTTACTTATTCATTTATTTTTAGAGGAGGTATTGAAGATTGAACCAGCACCTTGTGCATACTAAGCATGCACCCTGCCACTTGAGCTATATCTTCCCCCCTAAATCTTCTCTTTATCTTCTGTGGTTTTAATTGAGCATATAATATGGTTCCATTGTCTCCCCTCTCTTAGTATCTCAATTATGCTATTGTAAAATTTTTCTTTAGTGGTTCGCTTAGAGTGTGCAATATACATTTACAACTCATCTAAGTCCACGTTCAAACAACACTCACAGGTAGTGACGTTACCTTGTAACATTGTATTCCCTGTCCCTCCCTCCTGTCCCTGGTAACATTGCTGTCATTCCTTCCCCTTAGCCATCTGCTACAATTACCCAGTACATTTTTGCTATTATTACTTTGAACAGTTATCTATTAGATCAATTAAGAATAAGAACAACCAAAGATTTTGTTTTACCCTCATTTATCCTTTATTGTTTTTGTCTCTGTGTATATATATATATATTTTTTAAAATTTTATGTCTGTTATGTTTTTAAATGTTTAAGTTTTTTAACTGAGGTATAGTTGATTTACAATATTATATAAGTTTCAGGTGTACAATGTAATGATTCCCAATTTTTACAGACTATATTCCATTTATAGTTATTATAAAATATTGTCTAGATTCCCTGTGCTGTACAGTATATGCTTGTAGCTTATTTATTTTATATATAGTAGTTGGTATCTCTTAATTCCCTACCCCTGTCTTGCCTCTCCACCCTTCCCTCTCCCCACTGGTAGCCACCGTTCTCTATATCTGTGAGTCTGTTTCTTTTTTGTTATATTCACTAGTTTGCTTTATTTTTTAGATTCCTCATATAAGTGATAACATACAGTTATTTATCTTTGTCTGAATTATTTCACCAAGCATAACACCCTCCAAGTTCATCCACATTGTTGCAAATGGCAAATTTTCATTCTTTTTCATGGCTAAGTAGTATTCGTGTGTGTGTGTGTGTGTGTGTGTGTGTGTGTGTGTGTGTGTGTGTGTGTGTGAGTGAGATCTGAAAAAACCTTTCTGGCTGGAGAGAGGCTGCCCCTCCCTAGTCAATTCTCAGAGATAACATAGACAGCCCAGCCAAGAGCCTGCCTTTCAAATGCAAACTAAGCAATCCAGGGCCCTCACCCTTCTAACTGGCTCCCACACCCACAGAGATGGTCTCTTCCTCTGCCTTAATCATCCTGGGACCAGGTTCCAGGCAACCAGAGACTCCCCCAATAGCCCAACTACCCCAGCCCCAAATTATTCAAACTAGCCCATCTTAAACCTTTACTCT